CTTCAGCACAAGGGTCTGCTGGTGAGGCTGTCTGGCAAGTCTTCCAGTCCCACCTGCCTCCTGCCTTACCACACCAGCAGTGCTCCCACAGGTGAGGAATCCTTCCCCAAGACTGAGCCTTTTCAGCAGCTCTGCCCAGCATTGCAGCAGCAGCGAGCTGTAGGTGTAATGTGCGGCTCAAACGCTGGCAGAGCTGGTGAGACACAGAGCAGGCTGTCCTGTGCCTTGGCGAGCAATGGGAGCAGGAGCAGGGAGTGATGTGGTATGACTGCGCACATGTTTCTGGCAGTAAGGCTGATCCTGACTTGGCAACACCACTGCTGGGAATCCACAGAGGCTTTACCTGGTACAGGAGAAGGTGCAGCAGAGCTGCTGCCTCTGGTCAGGGAGGAAGAGAGCATGTCTTCCTTTGAGATGAGCAACCTGACTGCCAGCGGTGCAGTATGTGGTGCTCAGGCTACTGAGCCCTGGACACTCTTCCTCAGTGAGCAAGGAAAGCAGAGCTTTCCTGAAGTGAAATTCCAGAAACAGAGACTGCACGGTCACAGGCCTCAGCACCACCCACTCTGCCCTGCAGCTCTGCTCCCACTGTGTCCTGCTGCCCTCTGACACAGGCAGTGCCCCAGCTGAGAGCGTGGGCTGTGGGGACAGCCGCATGCCGGCACAGTGTGGCAGGCCGGCAAAGCAGCTTGGGCAACACCGGCCCAAGCACACAGCATGAGGTGCCTCTGCCAACACCTCACTACCACTGATCCCTCCTGTGTGTTGCCCCCTCGCACGCACAGGCACAGCCAGCCGTCTGCAGCACCCCTGCTAACACCCTGGGTCCCCAGAGACTGCGTGAGCCCCACCCCATGTCCAGCCAGGAAAAAGGATGTGGCCGTGCCAACAGGGGGGTTGAGCAGTGCTGTGAGGGGCTCAGAAGCGCAGCAAGGCTTTCTGGGGAAAAAAGAAAATCCCTCAAGCCTTGGGGCTGACCGAGAAGCAGGTGTCAGAGCTCTCTGCAAGACAGACATCACAGCCGGCTCTGAAGGAGGCTCAAAAGGCTTAAGAAACTCGCTAACCTCCCAGCAATGACAGGCGAGATACTTAAAAGTGCCAGTGCCGAAACCACTGGTTTTCAGGCTCTGGCAGGGCTAGTTCACTCTTCAGGAAGTGAAGGCGAGAGGCTATGACATTATTAAATAATTTTTAGTTATGCCCCCATCTTGGCCAACAGAATCAGCCTGCTGGATACTTGAGGTTTGTGTGCTCTTATGATATCTCACTGACACCAGTTAGATTGATAGGACATCGCACCGATCCCAGGAGAGCTCAGAACATCCACATTTTTGTCATTAGTGCAGTCTAATGGCATGTGACAACCTGCAGAAAGGCTGGTTTGGTAACATGCAGCTCTGGGGTCTGCGCCGTGGGGCCCTCAGGGCCCTGGGAGGCTCCCCGAGGATGAAACAGCAGCATTACACTAGCAGTGCCTACCTGGCATTTGGACACATTTGCCAGTTACGCTTTTCACTCCCCATAGAAGAGGATGCAAGTGAATTTCCCACCAGGAAGGGCACCAACAGATGGCTTCCTATATTAAATGTCTTTTCAGGACAAGAACTACTTATCCACAGTACCAAAAGTGAAACAAAGAGAAGAATGTACACCAACAGGAGGAGCCCGAGGTGTTTACTAGACTCAAAGTAACTTCACAAACTAGAAAAGTGACAAACAGGGGAAGATTTGGTGCGTACATGCTGTATTGTACCTCTGCTGAATCACATTTTCATAATTTAAAATGCTGCCGTTACTTTTTGCTCTGGGACTGGGAGATTACAATCTGCACTTCTACTCTCTCCCCAGATAATTTTAAGCGAAGTGCACCTGTGAAAGGGAACCCTCTCTCTGATCAGGCACACAATTACCAGCACTGGAAGAGCACTTACAGACCCCCACAAAAACACTCTTCCACATAGGATCCGATCTTACTGGGAGTGCTGATTATTGCTGTGAGCACATCTAACACAAATATTCTTCATCCTTGCCAACTGTCGACGGAAGCGCACGCAGGATGAATCATTCAGCAGAACAGTTCGCATGCTGACAGTGAGAAAAATAATTTACCTTGAAAATAAAAACAAAATACGCTTTTCCCACAGATCATCCATAAATCAAATGCAAACTTTTACAGACCCCAGAGAAGGAACATTCCTGACCTTGTTGGATGGAGTAAAGCAATTCTGTTAACAAAGCACTGTGCTGCTGGGCCACATCTCCAGCACTCTCTGAACTCGGTGCTGTGCTGCGACGGCACCGAGAGGTG